AACCACCACCCCTTACACCACTCACCTTTTTCAAATACTGTTGTGAACACGGAGCACCAGTCTCTGCATTGTTGATTTCTTCCAAGATTTTCTGCACAGATCAAGCAGACGACTACATGAATGGGTGACACAGCAAACTAGCAATACACAGACACTATCAATCAACGTACTGTATCATCAATGTCATTCCACAAGGGCCAAACCGCCAATTTTTTTGTAAGTAGTTTGTTTAGTTTAAGTAAGAGTTTTACGGCACTTACAACACAAAAAGGTCGCATATAAGTGCCGAAGATGACAGATGTTACAAGGGAGTAACAAACACAAAAAAGAAGGAGGGGAGATAAGGAAGATAGATGTTAGATAGGAAAGAAGGAGCAAACCACACTAGAACACCTGCCAGCCACCCACTTTTTGTAAGTAAGTGTAAGTGTGTAAGTTTGTAAGTGTGTACAAGTATAAGTGTGCAAGTGCGTTAGTGTGAAAGTTTAACAGCCCTATCAACACCTTTAGGTTATTGAAGAGGCAGGACGGAACCTTCGAATTTAACGTCTACCTCTGATAGGACTGAGTCAAGTGGCTTGAGAATCTTGAAAACTCCAACAAATGACCCCGTTTCAAGAACACCCAAGTCATTTATTGAAATTTGTGAGACAACTTTTAAAACAAAAAGAGCCCTCAAATCAGAACTACGACTTGGGCAATCATTATTGTTTTATTAAAAACTTGGAAGTAGATAACAAAACAACATTACTTTATTGTTAGATTTGCTTTGATGTCTTTATTTGAACAACAGCTTTTTGGGGAAAACCCAAGAAATTTATTTGGACAATTGTGGAAAGACACTGACGATATATGTATGACATTGAGCCTTTGACACATCTACACATACTAGCTGTGTGCTCACATCACAGCACACTTCTTACACAGCTTGACAACAGCTCTCAGAGAAATACTTATTCCTAATCACATCTCACAAGCACACATCTACACATACTAGCTGTGTGCTCACATCAGCTCTCAGAGAAATACTTATTCCTAATCACATCTCACAAGCACACATCTACACATACTAGCTGTGTGCTCACATCAGCTCTCAGAGAAATACTTATTCCTAATCACATCTCACAAGCACAC